CCTCCTCACTCCTGGGACAACTGGCCCCATTATCAAACAAGGCTCTGACCTTTGGATCCATCCATCTTGTCTCCTCCACAGAGCCTGGGCTGAGCTACGGCCCTTTATTTATTCACGCAATGTAGGTTTCCTCCTGCTGCTTCACCAGGGCACGTCAACTGTGACCTGGAGACACCGTCCTCTCCTGGGATAAGCATGTTTTTCAGTCCCTGGCATCTCTGGAGTAAAGAGTGACAGTTCTTTAAAGGAGGGGGCAAAAGCAGATGGGAGGAATGACAGGCTGAAGTACATTTTGGTTTAAATGGAGCTTGATGGAAGCAACAGTCTGCGAGTCCCCTGGTCCAGAGCAGGATTTAATGCAGAGCTTTCCTTTAACTAGTGCCTAATGTGGTGCAGTTTTTGCTGGTAGAACTCCCACCACCACTTCCTGCCATTTTCCTTACCTTGTCGTCTCAATTCACGGAAAAACATCTTCAGCTGCATTATTTTCACACCAAGTTCTGTAAAATTTGTCACCTGCCAGACAGAAGCCTTACTGGGAGTGCTGGGAGGGACTGGTTACCAGTGAGCACCCACTGGTGCTGGACACAACCCCTTTAGTTTGCAGTGGCACAAGAAAGAGACCCAGGAGCAGGCCCCTGCCACAGGCATACAGAGCAGACCCTGGCTGTGCTTCTCCAGCAGGAAGCGGAGATGGTCCTGACTGGTCCATATGGAGTGTAATGACCCAGGAGAAGGTTCACTGACCAGGTGTGCACTGTGGGACTCTGTCTCCGCGGCTGGAAACTTGTCTGCAAACAAGGGTCTTGCCACAGCCCTGACGGCTGGTGAGGGACAAATCTGTGCTGTTGCACAGCTCCTTGCTGCTCCCAGGTGCAAGGAGGCTCCAGCATCCTGTCAGAGAGGTTCTGTAGCTGGAGCAGAGCACACCAGCTGTGAGATGTGGGGCACCGAGTTTCAGGCTGGAGAGCAATTGCTCAGGATGGGGCAGTCCCACGCAGCTGGTGGGATGTTGGAGTCTTGGTTCTCCTGCTCTGGATTCCAGCAGTGCCCGGCCATGGGTGTGATGGACCTCTCTCTGCCCAAGAACAGCTGAGGGCACTGCTGCCCAGGCTGCAGGGAGACCTGTGAAGGAGGGACCTCAGCTGTCCATGCACCCACTGAGCTCCACCACCTCTGCCATCTCCGGCAGATGTTCCCTGAATCCCACAGCAGGACTGTGCACCCTCCTCCTCAGACAACCTGCTGCAGCGCACTTGTCGTCTTTACCATTTTAAGGTCTTTTTTCTTAGCGTCTCAGCTACATCTTTCTTTCTGTTCTTTAAGCATGTGTTTTGTTGTCCTGGTCACCCATGTATTAAGAACAGCCATTTTCCTTTGCACCTTATTTACCCAGCTGATTTTCTCTAGAAAAACTGGCCTTGTTTGTGCCATTCTTTCCTCACCGGCTGCACTATCTGCACCCTCTGATTCTCCTCCACTTTCTCTGGTAGTCCCTCTAGAGCAGATCCACTCTCTCTTCATCTGCAAAGACTGACACCAGTCAGTATTTGAGCCAATGCCTCACCTTGCAGTGACCGGAGTGGACTTGTGGTTCATGCTCCAGTTTGTCTGTTGCTGCAGCATCTTGTCTCTTTTGCCACGGTTTGGGATCTGCACTGCAGCACTGCTCCCCACTCAGGTCCTGGCCTTCACCTGCAAGGTTTTCACCTGCAAGGCTGCCAGAGGGAGTTCCTTCATTCACCTCCCACCTCCTTCCAAATGCTGCTGGTTTATCTTCTTCTCTTCCCATGGTCCTATATACCCCACTTTCTCTGTGCTTTTGCTCATGTTCTTGCAACCACAAGCAACAGACATCTACCAGAGCAAAAGCCAGATATCTGTAGGGCTGGGACTCGGAGGGAAAGCGAGATGTTTCCACCACAATGCACCATCTGGTGCTGACAACAGCTACCCCAGTGACAGGCAGAGCTGTGACCTACAGGAGGCTTCTCTGGGTTTCACCCAAGCTCCCATGTAAGTTACTTTGCCTGAACTTTCCACCGCTGCCTTCCCACGACAAGGCAGGAGTTTGCTCACCAGTTCAAAACTGGTTTTTGAAAGAAGAGTCCAAGGTGGAGCATTGCTGGCTGAAGCCTCTGAGCCTCAGAGAAACAAGAGAAGAGTCCTGGCTGTCTGAACTCCTGCCAGGGACCAGGCACCTTGACTTCGGAGGGGAAGCTGGGGAAAACTTGGATTCACTCCACATCTGCCCCCCCCGGACACTGCCCACAGGCACCGTGAGGGCATCGGCAGCTCCTACGCGCCGGGCTGCGCCGCTGGAGTCTCAGCCTTGCCATCCTGCCAGCGCGGGTATCCACAGAATTCCTGTGCTGAGCAATTTCACCACATGACATTTTCCCAGTCCCGATGTCCCCCCGCGCACTGGCCGGGCTGTTGAGGAACACGTCACCAGACAAAGCCATGGCAGGGCGCCCGCAGGAGGGGAACATCGCTCTGTTTGTTGCCGTGCAGGTTCCTTTGAAAACACAGACGAGAATGGTGGAACGGGGGCAGTTAGAGGCAGAGCCTCAGAGAAGACCTATGCAAGGAACCTCTCCAGAGTGCGCTACCCTGGTGGCCATCAGAGTAATGGTCTGCCGGCCTTCACAGCTAAGAGTGACTCTCTCATTTCTTTTATGGATTTTACTCCACAGCACCCACAAAACACCTCACGAACTGAATGAGGGCTCAGAGCCATCTCTCACGAGATGCTGTCGCAGTTCACAGTGTTCTCCTTGGCCTCTTGGACACTGCTGCAAACACAGCTGCTCCAGTGTCCAGGCAGTGAAGAAAACTACCTGCTCTTGATGTTCTTCAATAAAGAAGAGGTGTGGAGGATCTCAACATCTTCCAGAGTGAAACCGCTCAAAAGGAAGCAGTCTTCGAGAAATAAGGAGTTAAAATGTCAGCTGGGTTCCTTCTTTGAATCCCCTATCTCCTAACAAGGTCGACAATACTGTTTTGCTGCTTCAAGACATCATTGTGCTGGTCTCAGGACTACTCCCTACATTCCTACCTTCCTCTCTTGTCACTTATCATAGCTCTGAGTAGTTGCAGGCCCCGTTTGTGGTCAGTCAGGCTGCATTTGCTAGATCTTACCAAATCACGAAGGTAATAAATTGTCTGAGAGAACAGAACGAGTTGATAGGAAGGAACATGAAGTAGTGGCTTCAGCAATTTTAGGATGAACCAAGGTCACTCCGACCTTGCCAAGTACACCAAGAAGCTACCCAAATTAGGAAGAGTTCAGAAGTTTAATCCGAGGAAGACTCACAAGACGATCCCCCACTCTGATGAAGGCACTGGAACTCCCACCAGACAACTCCCCCAAATGGAAGACTCCGCCTATATATGAATATGCATGTAAAGATATGAATATGCATGTAAAGATGATGTAACCTACACTCAAACTGGTATAAAAAAGCTGCACTGATTACTAACTGATGGAACTGTTTGTCCAGGGCGGCCTGGAGAGTTCCCCAACGCGTTGTTAATAAATACCTCCTGCTTATGGACTTGAAAACTTAGTCTCTGAGCAGTTTCTATTTTCTGAGCAGTTTCTATTTTCTGAGACTGCAGTTTCTATTTCGCCTTTTGGGGCAAATTCGGCATCAAGAGCATCGTCCAGTCCTCACCACACTGCTGTACAGTGGGGAGAATGGCGAGGCCACAATTTCACTGAGTCATTTTTACTTTGAAAAAAAAGCCTCAAACTTACTGAATATTAGCTCGAAAACAATGGAGAAAACAGTTCTGGGAGGTGATTCCCTAAAATCTGCCTCACCATGGGGCAAAGGTGTTGCCCAATCTCTGTTTTTGTACTTGTGTGCTTTGTGGTTATACCTGGAGGTAGAACAGGGACATGACCCTCTGAGCGCAGCTGCACCATCACCCCTCGTGCGGGCAGAGATTGTCCATCCCCACGCTGTCCATGAACACCCGCATTGTGTTCCCCCAGACAGAGGTAACTCCCGATGCCGGAGCCATCCACCTCTTGCAGGAAGATGGTCTCCTGAGCTCCTGGTGGCTCTTAAAAGGGTGCAGCTCCTGGAGAAGAGATTTACTCACCCTGTGACAGCCTTGCTGGCCACATGACCAAACCAGTGCCTCGGAGAAACTGGAGCTGATCCCAGCACTCAATCTAAGCCAGCCCTCCTTCCCCATCCACCTGCCCACCTGCTGGTTCACCTAAAGGCTGCTGGAGACTTCTATTCAAACAGAACCAGGTACTGATAAAAAGGGATGTAAAACACGGCACGTGGGAGAAGTTCCAGTGTCAGGGGCAAGTCTTTTCAGGAGCGGAATTAATTTATTACTTTTTTCATTAGGGCTAAAAGTGATTTACTTTTTCAAAATCACCAAGAACTTTTCAATCAAGTAATCAGCAAAGTTCAGCAAAAGTAAATTTCAGTTGCCAACGTGGACACATTCAAAATGGGCACTGGGTTCCCGAGCAGTGTGTGGGCACAGACCCCACAGACCCCTGGGATGAGGTGACACGGCCACTAAAACACCGGGGTTCTCTCCGGTGACTTTGCCAAACAAAAAGCCGATGAAATCCATGAATCCGTGAGATTAGGGAGTACCAGCAGGCAATACTACTGGCAAAACTGATTTTTTTCCTAAAGTACCCATTTCTCCTCCCCAGAGACCCCTGCATTAGCACAGGTTACAAATACTTTCTAATTTTAAAGCGAAACCATGGCCAAAGGCTTGTTTGTGAGTAAGAATTAAGGGCAGAGATGCACCTTTATAAAATTGTGCCATTAGTTTTTCTAAGCCTTAGCCAAAGCAGTGGTAAGGTATAGAGCAGACAACGAATGACTATAGTACAGATAATTTCCTTTTTAAAACCAAAAAATATCATGCCAGAGGTGATGTAGTTTCCGCTCAGCAAAGAGAAGCAGACAGTGTTTTTAATTATACTTGGTAATGCACGAAAATGTAGAACAAATCTGTGGTTTTAATATCCCCCATGTGAAGTTTTATTTAGGTTGTTCCTTTGATGAAGCATTTATTCTTACAAAGCTTTTAACAACACACTTGTTTAATTCCAGTGTACAAAAATAACGGTCTTTAAAAAAATTATTAAATTTTAGCACAGTATGTCTGGAATCAAGTACATTTTCATACTCTGCAGCTTTTCCTCCAGAAACAGATTCCACAGGGGAACACGGACATATTTAATTCTGCTCCATCCCTCCTGCGGTGCCAAGTTGGCTGGGGTGGGGAAGGGGCTGGCGTGGAGCTCGCCGACGCTGGGCGGCTCGATGGACCCACCACCACCTCGAAGCACGAGGCGGGAGACTGCCACGGCCCCAAGTGCAAGGCAACAACTTCACAGCACCTTCCAGGAGGGATGGAGGAGAAAAAAACTGCCCAGCTGCGCTCTGGAGAGGATTAAGTGGCCACAGGGAACATGTTTTACACCCACATCCCTGAGCTCTATCCCCAGTTTCCCCCTCCAGCGTCAGCTCTGAAGGCATCGTGCTCCCCAGCAGCAGAGCCTGCTCCTGAAGGCAGAGCAACATCTCACCGGTGAAGAAACAAAACTTACCAAACCCAGCATGGCCCCTTCCCCCCCACCCCTCAAGCAAAGAAAATAACATTATAACCTATTGTGGGGCACTGAGAAGTGCAGCGAGAGCCCGGCGTCCCACCCGTGGGCTGCTCCACGGACACAGCGCTCTGGTTGGGAGTGAGACCGAGGTCGGGCTGTGGCTGGTGCCCAAACAGCCAGCGCCAGGGACGGACTCAGATTCAATGTGCTAAAAAGAGGACGAAAATAAACAGAAAGCAGAGCCAGAGCCAATAACCAGTGCCATCCATCCCCTTCCTCATCACCAGGATTTCTGTTTGGACTTCTTCCTCCTCTGTTTTATGAGGAATAAATTCTCGTTGACATCAGGACTATCGTCTCTCTGCTTTTTCCATTTCTTCTTCCTTTTAGCACCTTCCAGAGGCCCCTGCGCAGCTTTGCTGCCTGAGAATGCCTGGAAAATGGACTTGTGTTGGATTTTGCTGCCCTTGCGTGCCTGCCTTTTACACCCTCTGGGGAAGTCCTCCTCCAAATTGTGGCTGACTTCAAAATCACTTCTGCGTTTCTCTCCTCTGCATTTCTCTGCCCGGGACAACTTCACCTTTTTGTGACACTTGCCATCTTTGTCATGTTTCCTGTGCTCTTTCCAGGGCTTGCTCTTTTTCTTATGACTGTGCTCCCCATGTTTTTCTTCCTGCCACTGTGTCTCTGGCTGTTCTGGCAGAAGGCCGGCTTCCTGCAGTTCTGTAAAACACAGCAGTTTATCTCAATATCCATGCAGAAAACCTCAAACCTAGAGCCCAACCCATCAGAGCTTTCCCATGTATGTATAAAGTTAGTTAGAAAAAATGTATGTCTCTGATATCTCTGATACATTTTTTCGTAGTGTTTGTTTTCCTGTCAGCAGACCAGAATCTTAACCAAGTTTAATCCTCTTCCTGCTAGTTTATAGCATTTTTAATGTCAGTGGGTTTTCTAGAGTGAAAACACCTGACAATGCCCACCTAGTGGATTTGACGCAATAAATTCCCATGGTAGACATGGGTGAATAAAGTGACAAACCTTTCACTGCCATTAGACTGCCTGTTCCAATCCCTGTAGCTCATGAAACACATGAAAATAATCCCACAATATTTCTAACAGCAGCAAGTGCAGAAGAAAGTATTTCAAAGAACTGAGAGGCAGGAGGGATCTCCCAAAATATACCGTACCTGCAGCCTTCCGTTGCAACCTGTTTGCTCTTTTCTTGATGTCGTGCTCATCATCGTAGTAGCAGATGAATGGAGAAGTAGGGAACATGCTCCCCTGCATCCGCTTCTCCGAGCACTCCTGCAAAACACATTGCAAGTCACTCGGTGTGGCCGAGTCGTGATTTTCCTAGAAAGGAAGCAGGTTGGATTCTGCAGGTGCCGCTCCGTACCTGCAGAGGATGTGGCCAGCAATTCTTTAAACACTGATCATTTTATTACCATCCAATAACCCTTCCTGTGCACGGACACAAACACACATGGCATCAGCCAAGCTGCAGTTCTTGCAGCAAAGGAAGCCCCCCCCCCCACCTGGAGCTGCGACAGCAGCCGCGGCGCAGGGGTGGGTCAGCACCAGCTGAAGGGGGTGTCGGGTCTGGGAACGGGGCTCTCCTGCCCGACCCTGGGCTGTCCCCATGTCTGGCTTCCCACTCTGGTCACCCAGTGCAGCCACACAACCCTGTCCCCTCCAGGGACAAATACTTCCCATTCTAGAGGAGCTCTTTCACCCTGGACCATTCGGGTGGAAGCACGTGCAGAAACGTAGCTGTCTCTGGGGGCTGGGTGGGCTGAGGGAGGAGCGAGCAGCAATGAGGGGGCAGGGGCTGCATCCTCCCCACGGGTGCCCAGCAGCGTGTCTGACCCTGCGCTGTGTCCCCACAGGCACAGAGCAAAGCAAACCCCGCAGGAGACTCTGCTGCAGCGGCACAGGGGACCTGCACGGAGGAGGAGGAGGAGGAGGAGAGCCCCCCAAGAGTCGGCTGTGGTGAGGAAGGGGCTGGCTCTGGCTCATGGGTACATCAGCCTGTTTCCCAGACACTTCATTCAGGAATGTGAATTTTTTCACTGCTGTACACAAAGTTTTAGCAATGTCCTGTGAGCCAGGCTAAGTGGGATTCTTCCTACGATCTGTCTTTTTTACAGGGTGCGATGTGACATCAACGGATGCTCTCTTCTCCTTTAAACTGCTTGATGACTGCTGTGTTTTCAGTATCATCTCTCTGCTTCTGGGGCACTGCCCAAATCTAATGAACTCTGGGCCTTGACATCCTCCAGAAACTGTCAGGAGCTTTCGCTCACCCTGATGTCTCCACCACAAGCTCAGCAGCTTTGCTTCCTGCGTTTGGTCAGTGCCAGCTCTAACATCCTCCCCTCCCTGCGTGTCCTCTGCTTCCTACGGTCTCTTTTTTAAAGGCAGAGTACATCAAAGATGCATTTCAGAGGTAATTTTTATTTCTCAGCTTGTATTTGGTCTTTGCTTGGCTGAAAATAAATGAAGAGTCAGGTCATTATCCCTTGTGCTGTCCTCCAAAAGGGTACTGTTGGGTTGTGTGACATCTGTCTCGTCTCCACGTGCATGGAGGAGCACGGACCAGCAGCAGCGGCTGGAAGCTGGAGCCCACCCAAGCCTGGGGGCTCATCCTTACCCCCTGAGAAATCGGGCTGATGGGCAACTTGCAGGGGGTGTGCACGGACATCCACCGCCTGTGGCCGTTCTTGGCAGCTATTCATCTGAAATACCCATATCCTAGAAGATGGACCGGATTTCTCACCAAACACCTTCAACACCCAGCTATTGACCCACCAAGAAACTTCCTCTCTCACTTTCCTGAGCCCTCCATCCACCTCCCTCAGATTTAAGAGGAGAGACAAGCACAACAGAGAAATGACACTTCAAATACCTGTGTTTCATATGAGTGAAACCTAGAAGTGGCCTTTGGGCAGGGCAGGAAGCTGCCTGCTTTTCTGGAATAAATGAAATAGAATATTATCCCTAAACTTTGCCAAAATTGTTACTGATAACAATGGAGATCGGCTTTATACAGGAGTTTGCAAAGACCCATTCATCCTTCTGTGATAGCTGTGAAATGCAGTGATTGAGACCACACACCAACCCCAGGGCTTGCTCTGCCGGCACGTGCCCGTTTTCCTTTGGTTCCTGCGCTGGCAGAGAAGCCCAAGTGACTGAAGTCCAGGTGCCACCCGAATCGCTGCTCCTCTCCTTCTGCCTCTCTCCCCGGCACTGATAACCCAGCGCTGGCCGTACCCCCTCTCCCAGGGAAGCTGCTCTGCCCTGTATACTGCAAAATGCTCTCGGGAGCCCCAGACACAGGGGGTGTGAAGAGGACAGAGCAGAGCCCCCGCCACCCCGCAGGACGGGCTCTCCGTGCGCTGGAACACGGGGATGTGAGTGCCAGGCATGTCCATCGGGGCCCTGATGCCAGCTGTGGGAGAACCTGCTGCAGCCCCAATAATGCAGTGGGCACTCCCTCCTTAACTTGTCCTCTCTCTTAATGTTCCTTCAGGGATGCCCCTTAAAATGAGCACATCTTTGCTGTGGAGCACAAGAGATGACATTTCGGATGTGTGAACTGCTATGAAACGAATGATGATGTTAAGTCTACCAAAGTAAATAAGATTTCCTGTCCTTATTAAATCCTTAGTTTACATAAGAGCATGACTGTCTTAATACTTTCAGGCTGAGAGCATTGGGGGGAGTTCAGCCTGGAGAAGAGAAAGCTCTGGAGAGATCTCAGAGCCCCTTCCAGTCCCTCAGGGGGCTCCAGGAAAGCTGGGGAGGGACTCTGGATGAGGGAGGGGAGCCCTAGGAGGAGGGGGAAGGGTTTGACCCTGAAAGAGGGGAGATGGAGCTGAGCTGTGGGGAAGAACTTGTTTGGTGTGAGGGTGGTGAGAGCCTGGCCCAGGTTGTCTCGAGGAGCTGTGGCTGCCCCATCCCTGGAGGGGTTCAAGGGCAGGTTGGAGGGGGCTTGGAGCAGCCTGGTGTGGTGGGAGGTGTCCCTGCCCAGGGCAGGGGGTGGCACTGGGGGGGCTTTAGGATCCCTTCCAACCTGAATCATCCTGTGATTATATAATAAACAATACAGCAAATTCAGGAAACATAACTGCCAGGTGCAGGACCTCTGACAGTTTAACTATTTCCATTTCTACAAACATGAAGAAGTGATCTGTAATGAGCTCCTTATGGCAACTGCACAGTTAACTCTGGGATTTAGCGTATATTCTCTCTTGCCTCTGTTTTGGGGAAAGGTCTCATTAGACATCTGGCAAAGAAATGGAATTTCAGATGTTCCTAAACTAGATGAAATGGTAACATGAAAGGAAACAGACTGCAGTGGGAAGCACTTATTATGGTGCATCTATATATAACTAACCCCAGCCTCTTCTTGATCAGTTTGTTATTCCTGTGCTTTCATCATGCAAAAAGGCCAAAGAGCAGGGTTCCTGAGGTACAGAAATGTTAGGAGATGCTTGTCATCAGCAGTACTTCTTACTTGCTTAAAAATATTTACATTTTTAAAAAACTCTGTTAACAACCTCCCCTTTTTTTCCCCCTCAAACTACAGGCAGATCTTTCATGCCCCGAGTGAGCTGCTCACTGCAGTGACTGCTCAGGCCCTGGGTTTTCTCCAGCGGGAGCTGCTCATTGGATGCATTCACTGCCCGGGCACCGACTGCTGGTCCCACTTCCTCAGCTGTCCTTGGACAGAAGGTTCAGTGATTTGAGGGCAAATACTCAGTTATCATTACAAAATCCAATGTGTGTCCTGGGCATTTTTCTGTGTGGATACATATAGATCTGCTATTTCTGCCCTTCTGTGTTGTTACTGACTTCTCCAGTCATTGCTCAGGCTGTTTCTGCTCTTTGTCAGCTGTTAAAAATACTCTCTTATCTTCTTTAACTTTGATAGCCATAAAGTGTTGTCCTAGAGTCACTTTTCTCCCTTACTGATTTTATACAATTCCTACCATTCTCTATCCAACTAATTACTACCAGCTCCTTCCACATATTTACTAATTATTTTTACAGCAGCCATATTTGTATCCATTTAAGTCTCCCTCCCTCCCTCCCATTTTTTCACACTTTAATTAAATGCTCCTTATTGGCTGCCAGCAATCGGTCTCACTTCTTCAACCCTGTCACTTCAGTTTTTATTGTAAATGCTTGTTTTAGTGTTTGTACCACTGGCAGGGGCTTGATTCTGGTTTTGTGTGGCAGGATCAGTTCCAGAGCTGCTTTCTCAGGTTCTGTCAGCTGGAGTCCCCAAGCACGAGCAGAAGCAGCTGTTTTTCATGGCCACATCGCTGAGGTGTCGTGGTGCGCCACGTGTAGCCGTGTCTGCAGTGGTGTCTGAAGCCAAGGGCCGGGGCTCGGGGCTGCAGCAGTGCCAGTGGTGCTGCTGGTGGTGCCAGGGTGGTGTCACAGTGCTGGGGGGATGCCGGTGGTGCCAGGGTGGTGTCACAGTGCTGGGGGGATGCTGGGCTGCGGGCAGACACCCCCCTCTTACCTCTCTCGGGTTGCAGCAGCTGCTTATGGCCTGTCCCCCCAGCCCTGTGTAGGCAGCAGCCTGTCCTGGGACTCGGTGCCCCCCTTGACGAGTAAAAACCCCACTCGTCTCCAGGACAGCCTGGCAGTAGAAACCTTCCATTCATCTTTCAGCTCTGCCGTGAGAAGGTCCCAGCAAACCTGCCCTGCCTGTCCCACCATCACCCACAGGGATGGACTATTTCAGCTGAAAAGAGCAGCAAGCTTTTAACGATACATCTTCAGCAGCTGTAGGAGTTGACACACAGGGCGTGCACGGGAGGAGGATGGAAATCACTGGGAATTTTTATCTCTAAGCTGAAGGACAGGGAACTGCTGGAGACAGTCCAGCAGAGGCTATGAGGAGGATGAGGGGCTGGAGTATCTCTCTGCTGAGGAAAGGCTGAGGGACCTGCTGATGCTTATCAATATCTAAAGGGCGGGGGGCAAGAGGATGGGGCCAGACTCTTCTCAGTGGTGCCTGGTGACAGGACAAGGGGCAACGGGCACAAGCTGGAACATGCAAATTTCCATCTCAACATGAGAAGGACCTTCTTTCCTGTGAGGGTGGCAGAGCCCTGGAACAGGCTCCCCAGAGACGTGGTGGAGCCTCCACCTCTGGAGACATTCAAACCTACGCGGACACATTCCTGTGCGACCTGCTCTGGGTGGACCTGCTCTGGGAGGGGGTTGTACTGGGGGGTCTCTAGAGGTCCCTTCCAAACCCTGCCCCCCTGGGATTCTGTGAAACTATAAACTTAACCCATTCAACACGAGTAACATTCATTTTCTAGAATACATGTGCCTCCTGGACTTGTTCCATAAAAGAAAAGAACTAACATTTGTCTGTTGTTGATACCTTCAGGCAGAGAGCTGCACTTGTGACAGGGGGCTGAGAAAGGTGACAAACAACAGTAAGCAGTCTTGAAAGATGCAGCACACCTTCTGTGTTTGCTGAAGCCATGTAAGGCTCATGATGCCCTCCTTCACTGGCCCGTGTAACTTACGGAAGGATTATGCCAAACTTAATTCAGATGGTAAATCAAACTAAGAAACTACAAATAAGGATCATCAAAAGCAGGCAGAAACAGAAAATTCTTGAAATAAGAATACAAATTGTTGGGCTGATTGTGGTGAAAAACCTTACATGACATTGAACATGGCACTAAGGCACTAATATTTTACCCTGTGAGTCACAGGAAAACAGAAAGAAAGAAAAGAAGGAAAAAAAAAAAGGTCTGCTCAGCAATTGTCTGTTTTTCAATGAGTGTTCTCTTTCCCAGGCAGTCTCATTTTGATTTAGGGTTCAAAAAACAAATCAATAAACCTGCCAAGGAGAGATAGTAACTTTTCCTCCATATCTTTAAATTAGATGGGCGAGATGGCTTTATGCATTGGCCTCCACTGATTGCAGCAGTGCTGCCAAGTCACCAACATTCAATCAGGGCGGCCCCTGGTGCAGCGTTAGCTCCTTCCTGCAGCCGCAGGCGCTGGCAGAGACGCACACCCAGCCCGAGGCACCCTCAGCCCCGGGTGGTGGCTGGGACTTACATATCCGAAGTGTCCTTTGCGGGAGCAGTTGTAGCAGTACGCCGAGGCCGAGCGCTCCGGGTGAGGACTGCCCGCCTTGATGGGCCCTGGCTTCGTCTGAAAGATGGAAACGGGCAGGAATTAGGTCTGGCAGTATTCCGAATGTGGAATTAAAAATAAATTAAAATTACATAAGTATAATTTTATTACGCTTAAATCAATACATCCCTGCTTGCTGTTGGAATATTAAGTTTGAAAAAGAAGCCAGTGGCTCATATTACTGCAATTTTGCAGAGCAAGGTTCGTCCTAAGCATCACAAATGAGGTGGGAAGAAGCATCCCCAGCATCTCTTCCACCTGGCCGTGTTATTCCAGCTCTGAATACAAGAAAATAGGCTGCTGATTTATCTCTCTCCCCTCCTCCTCCTCTCCCAGCCCCCTCTTGCAGATGCCCCACCATCCCCTGGGACGGAGAGGGCCATCAGATATTGCATCCACCAGCTGGAGGCACATTTGTGTGCTGCTGAGAGCAATATGGCAAAGATGCACCAGGGATGCGGGTCCTTCACCTGCTGCGTCCCACGGCCCTGCGCGGAGCAGGAGAAGCGGCCGGGGACCAGCCCTGCTCCCGGCGGGCAGACACGGCGCCACGGCCGGAGCCGCTCTCGGGGCTTACATGGGGCAAAGGAGGATCCAGCACCCTCCAGAGTTCAGGGGAACTGGCAGCTCGTTTTCTTGTCCCCACTTAGCACCACTGATGGAACAGGGGAATATATAATCTATTCCTTTATGTTTCGCCCTGGAGAAGGGGCTTCCAGGGACCCCCAGCCTGGCAAGAGCCGGCACGAGTACAAATGAGTTGTACATAAATTCTGTCTAAAAATCAGCAGGGTGGAAGAGCAACCTCACTGCCTTCGGCCCTGCCTGCATCCCCTCCTCTCCGGCGCCAAAGGGGTGGCCCAGGTGTCAAAGAAATTAGTACGACTTGGTAAAGTTCATTACAGGAATTGCTTTCTTCTTTAGATCTGTAGCACCACGCTCTGCTGTGAGAGATGCTGTGTTCTCCTGCACAGCCTCCAAAGAGTGACAGCGCTGCTTGTAAAATGGGCAGAAACAACAGAAATCTTCCAATGCCCTTTTTTTATGAATCTGATCACACTTGCAGGGTCACCTTATTTTGAACCTCTTCAGTCTCGGTTTAAATGTGTGTTTCAGATTCATGTTCCTCAGCTCATATTCACTCACCAGAAGGAGGCTAAAGGAGGACTCAGAAGAGTGACACATCAAACAGTGATTTGTGACTAAAGGCGGGGAAACAGGGAAAGGAGAAGAAACACCACCTATGAAGTAATTTTTTATATTTCTCACCCATGTCTTACAGCGAGAGCTCTCCAGCTAACAGCAGTGTATAAGTGACTTACTAAGCCGGCTTAGTTTTTCAGGTGTTCTTTTATCATAAATACATAGACCAGGCAAGGGAAAAAAAAAAAACCCAAATGCAAACATTTATATAGTGCCCTTGAGGTAAAATCTGTCAGTTTAATTTACTGGATCAATCACCTGTATTCTACTTAGTTTTCAGCACGAGAAGTGACCTCAGAAATCACCTCCGCTTTGGTCAGGGCACTAATCCCTACGAATGGTACCTTTCTCTGCCTTCCCACCATGTAGAATGTTACTCAAATCTATTTTCCAAGCTGGTGCCCACTGAAGCCCACACCGGTGGAGGAACCCCAGAGGTTCCTCCGGTCGGTCCCTGTCTGCTGGAGAGTTCTGTGACCCCAACACCAGCACAGGACAGATGGCTCCAAACACAAACCCAATGACACCAGCTTGGCCTCAAAGTGAGCCATAACATCCCTCTGAAAATGGTGTGATTGTACTATTTGGTCTTTGCAAGGTGCAGTGTAACTACAACAGACCCTTACAAAAAACATGTATTATTCCAGAGGCACGGTCCTTTACAGTCCAAGATGCCTGCTGGGACACCCGCTGAAGAGCTGGACACCTTCGTCTGTTGAATGGTTGTCCTCCAACATAAATAACGATGATCTTGGTCATCGTTTGTGTTCTTACAGTGAAACTCCAGCAAAATTTGCACCGAGTTCAGAACACTATTACTTTTTACAAAAAAAAGGAGAAGTAAGCTAGAGTGCTGTTTTAGGTTGGGATTCTGAAAATAAATGCCAGCTGTGTGGATGTTGACAAGAAATGGAGCACGCTCAGCACTGTTTCCAGCACTGTCCCCCCAACACTGTCCCCGGCACCATCCCCAACACTGTCCCATCCCTGTCCCTGTCCTTATCCCTGTCCCTGTCCCCCTGCTGAGAGGTTTGGCCTCACCAGGGACAACCGCCCCAAACCTGGGCATCAACAGACAAGGGGGGCCTCCCCCGGTGCAGGAGTCCCTCGGGCTCTCCCCTTCATCAGGAACGCTCACCCTGGGACCCCAACTGCCCCTGACCCTCCCCAGCAGCCTCCCTCCCCCCCCCAGATCGCCTTTTGTTTAGCCAATAGAAAAGGTCACATTTAAGGAAAGAAATTAAACTGAATACTTGCAGGTCAGATTACAACTCTACATAACTTTACTCCTTCCCAAAGCCAAACAAAAAGGAAACCTGCGTGTTATAAACCCTCTGTTTTCTTATTATTTAAGGCTTAAAAAAGCACCTAAGGACTCCAGCCATATGGGTACAAAATAAACTATTCATGAACGTAGCTTCTTTATGTTATAGTTTTTTTGTTACAAACATTTAAATAATCTATATTTGTAGGGTGATATCTTGGAGATTACTTCACTATCAATATATAGAAGTAATAACCTGGTAGATAGCATTACCTATGAAAGGTCCATCCCATCTGCTATTCTTGCTGAAAGCTTTTCATGCACCAGTAAACTCAGTAAATATCAGAAGATAAAGCATAAGCCTACCACGCCATGGATTTACTCCTAATGTCTCCTCAAAGTGCAGCCTGATGCAACGATTACAAATGATTTTTCTTCTAATGTCATTTTACATAACCCTTTTTTCTGCATGAGTAGTTAGTGCGGAATGAATGAATGAATGCCATTAAAACAGTTAATCATTATCTGGGACACTGGCCTTCCTCCCTTCTCAACTAGGAATCTCCATGACAAAGGCCAAGAGATCAAAATGCCAGGGCTGCCTCGCTGGCCTATTTCTGACAGTAATTTTTTATGCAAATGGCCCTGCTGGGCAGCTCCCTCTGTGACCTTGAGCTCCCCTTATCTGCACCGACTTTGATCCAATGAGGGCTGGCTTTTGTGCAGCTCATTACTACTTAGGATCTGCAATCTGGCTAAATCTCACTAATTAAGGAAAATCTTCTGACCTACGCTTCTGTGTATTTCTCTGCTCCTCTGTGTTACGCGACGCAGGGACCTCGGTGGTGCGGAGGACCAGAGCCCAGACCCTGTGGTGCCAACCAACCTGCCCATGTTGGTCAACGTGTCTCACAGCTCTGCCCTGCATGCCCCGTGGCACACGCGGGGGTTCCACCCGTGTGATGGCACACCCCCCCTCACCCACAGCCCGACCGGGCACAGCCATCTCTCCTGACTCACAAAGACACAACGAACCTGAACTGATGAAGTACCTGTCAGAAGAAAAGCTTCCCACCCTACCTCATGTGCCACTGAAACTACCTAAACTAAATAAAACTCAGAAGTTCCTCATGCTGTCCAGAGTCTCGTGATCAGATGAAACAAAGTTGAACATGGTGGAGATGCCATCCATCGGCCCACCAGTCTCCACTGGCCACCGCGCAGCCTCTGCCTAAAGCTCACACTGAGTTCTGGTTTTTGGATACCTCCAACACCAGTTTGGGCAACTCCATTTTAGCCTGCAAGGGAATGATTTTGTCAGCCCTTCGCTGAGGCATCCCAGGCCTGGCTGGCGATGACTACAGACAGCACCTCCTGATCACCCAGCACCACTCTGGCATGCCGAGAAGAGACAGTTACTTCTTTTCATCCCTTATATCAATTGCTGTGTTCCTATTTATCTCATAACTTTTAGGGTTATTTCTTGCTGCAGTCTGATGATGTGCAATTAAAGGGTGGACTATGGAAAGAAGCGCGGGGGAGGACACCGACACAAGCCCAAGGGCAGACCTGGGGGCCTCCTTCCAAGAAGGTGCCCACCACAACCAGTGCTCGAGTTCCGCAGGACGCGTGGCCCGGTGCTGCGCAACTCACTAAGACAAACCAGACAGAAGGACGGGAGTAAAACTCATTAGCAGCGATGTTTCACCAATTTCTTGAGCTACTGAAAGATGATCATCAAGTGAATCATTAGGCACTGCAGGTTGTAGACTGGAGCTGGACAGGGAAAGGGTCAAACAGCTCTATCACTGAAAAATATACATTTATTTTCCCTTTACAAATTACCATAATCTACTTGTATAGCAGATGAAACAACGGCAGGTTAGCATCACTCCCTTATATTCAAAATTGCCAATATAAGATATCATGTAATATCGTAATTATACTGAGGGTTTTTGTTGTTGTTATTTTCTTTAACCATGTCATGCACCCAGTAGACTTGCATTCCATTGGGTAATTCCTTAATTAGGCAGATTTTTGAAACAAGAATTATGTACACAACAGACCGGAACGTCTCCTTTGGAGTCTTCCTAGTCTATCAGGTGATTGCATCATTAAGCCACACATGCTACGTAGTAAAAATCCTTATGAAAATTCATGACAGAAACATACTAAGCTTGATGCATGCTAATAAGTGAGAAACATATAAATCCCGTATTTTAACTTTTAAACCCTCCAAACAATTATAAATAGAATAATTCTCGACCAAATCTTATTTCTTAATTTTTTCAGCTATCTAAAAAAACTTGCTCTTCCAACAGGATCTGTGGAGGTCGCATCTGAGTATCTTTCCACAAATTGCACCTCGTAATTGAGTTTACTAAATGTGCTTATAACATTCCTTCCACCCTTTTGGGTATCCACAAAACACAGAGAAATAACCAAGAAAAATGGGAACTAGCTAAACTTTTAGTTTTTTTTTTTTTTTTTTAAGTGCATGATACACTGTAAATTACAAATCAATGGACAAAAATTTATTTTTTGACTGTGC